CTTACACATCATGATGCCCGACTTTGCGTCCTCCAGGGCTACACCAGGACTTGGAGACCGCCCCTCCACCGTCGACCGTGTCATGGCGTCCCCCCGTACCCACGCCTCCTTGACTTCGTGTCCGCTCTGGCTTTCACCTTGCGAGTCAGTATCGCGTCCACTCCGGCCCCTTGGCGCAACATTCGCCGTGAGATCGACCTCGTCGCTGTCACCGTCGTCCCCCCTGCTGCCGCTCCCCGTCAGCGGGTTCCACCGCTTCTTCTTCGACTCCTGCGACTTGGAGGGTGCGCCGGGCATGGTGCCGCCGCCAATCGTGTGCAAACCGATGGGGTCGGATGGCGGGTCCCGGGCGTCGTTTTGCCGCTCGTACGACTCGCCCTGCCGCGACTGCCACCACTTGCCGATGACCCGTGACCACAGTGGACGACACACGGGTATGCCGACGCAGATGAGCGTCAGGGATGTCTCGACTTGGGACCACACGATCACGGCCACAGGCACGTCACGGACGCCCTTGACGTTCATGACACGGATGCCTCCTGCGGCAGCGGCTCTGTTTGTGTCTATTAGTCCTGCGACGGTGTGAAATGGCTTGGGAGATGTCAACGTACAAGATGCCCAGGCTCAGACTGCCGGCGATGGTCAGCTTTTCCCGGCGCGACAGGTTCAGCTTGAAGATGAAGATCCAGGGAAGGACGGCAAAGTAAATATCCACGGCGATGGTGCCCACTATGGAGGCATTAGCCAATATTCCCAGCTACCGACTGGCGTTAACCCCTCAGCTTGAATACGTACTAGCCAGCATCACCGCGGGAGGAACAGTGTTGAAACAGGTGCCGTTGAGGCTCTCGTCGTAGGCATACGGCAGAGGTCGACATGCGAGCCACGTGAGGAATGTGTTGACTGTCGCTTTTGTCAGCCTGGATTATGGTCATGGCAAAACGACCAGGACATCAGTCTTACGAATACTCAAGATGCCCATAACGGACATGATGGCCCAGATGGAGATGATTTGCCACCGAACGACGACAAGTCTCAGCAGAAAGAACCCGACTGACGCCTTGGATGTTCCCGTCGCCAGAAGGGAGAACGTCTGCGCGATCATGCGGTAATACGTCGCTACAACGTCCTCTGCCGCCGTGAGATCATCCCGTCCGTAGCCGTGGATCGCGGCCACGGTCCCCATGATACTGTAGCCTAGTGTGAGAACCTGCGAGGCTCGGCAGAGCCGTCTTGGTCAGCTTTGATGGCTTCTCGAAAGGAGTGGGAATCGTTGCGCTCAAGCGACTCGCGGCCGTACCCATGATATGGCGTAGAAGTGATCGTCGGTGCCATACGCTGCTACGCAGACGATACGCGTGTACAGTCGAAGAAAGAGAAAAAGAGTAACGACAAAGGTCATGGACCACAGCACCGCAATGCAGAGCGGTCCATCGCCGCCAATCTGCATCCTCGCAAGAACAAGGTCCGTTCCCGCGCTCTTGACACTTGACAGTCGAGGGTTCCACGTTCAACCACGTTTTGCTTTTCGCCCGGGTATTTGTCGTCAAAAAGAAAAGAGCGAAATTGGCTTGGTGAGAGGGTCATCCGCCTTGCCTCGCGTGATCTCCCCTTCTCTCTCTCTTCCTCTCTTTGTCTTCCAGCAGCAATGGCCGGGGGTGGCCAGATGTATAAAGCAAGGAGAACAAACCTCGAAACACCCCCAGGCTTTCCCCGCTACTTGAGCGTACAAGAACAGTATACCCGAGCAACAAAAAAAAAAGCATGGATCAAGTCTGGCAGTCGGGCTTGCCCCCCCCCCCTTATTGTACGGGAACAAGTGCCATTGTTGCGGCGCATGCAGTACAGAAGCCGGGGTGGGTGTTGATCATGATCCCAGCCGGGAGACCTATCACTTTTGCACCAAGAAAAGTGACAGCTCAGTTTTTTCTCCGTGTCATGCACAGCAAAATCCAGGGCGGGCTTAGGAGATTGGCATACGGTACGGCACACGAGTCTGTTGCTGCCAAGGCATGGATTGTGGGCGTGGACAGACCAGGTTCACAATCCGTGCAGCAGCCGCCTTGTCAATCCCCCCTGGCGACCCCTATCGTTGCCCGTGAGTCAACCAGACGCATTTGCTAGCATTGAGTACATTGCTGTTCGGGTCGAAGACGGGTCCAGCCCTTTTCCGTTTTGGGCCCTGTGCAGCGACTGGGCTTTGACGACACTGGACACTGATCCGGCAGGGCTTCAATTGAGCGGCCGGTGGGGGGAGAGGGGGAGAATAGCGAACAGTACGAGATGGCTGCGGGCTGTTCCGCGGTCTACCAAGCCTAAATCGCTTTAGCTCGAAGGACTAGAGTGGCCTGCCGTTCTCGAGTCAGCCCAGAAATGGACGAATCGAGACAACTTTGCAAATGAGGCTTGGTTCAATACCTCTTGTGAAGTGATTGTAAAGAGATAGAGTGTCCGCCACGTCGAGTCAGATCCTTGTCTCTCGGGGTGCGTGGGGGGGGGGGGTTATCTTTCTCACCGCGTAACTCGGGAGGCTTCCCCAGATCCATGTCCATGGCTAATTAACGAGCTCTAATTCGCCATGCGGCGTTCCAGTCGACTGCCAACAAGAAAGGATGATCAGGGCCACGGTCCCATATGTGCTGCCGTATACACCAGCCCGTTCACATGAGAAGTGACCAACTCTCACCCTCCGCCCTTCCCACCCTCCATCCGTCCTGACCAGCTTCGTCGTTGTACTCGAACCCCCCCCCGGCCCGCTTGCGACGACTCATGTGTGCGTGTATGTGTCCCTGCCGGTGAAGCCCTCAGCCTCCAGCATCCCACAGACCGCGGTACAAGCCCGTCATGACTTTGTCGCTGCCTGAGATCAGGCTTCCCTCGCCGCCGCTCCTCAGCGGCCTACTGATCGCCGGCTTTGTCCTCTTGTTGGCCAGGGCGTACCACGGATGGCGACGCCTCTCTCACATCCCGGGCCCGTTCCTATGGTCGCTCTCACCGTTCCCGCTGCTCAGGGCCAACCTCATCGGCCAATCCCATCAGATCCTCAGTGATTTGACCACCGAATATGGTCTGACAACCCACGCCAGGATTCCTTTTCTTTTTCCTCTAGAGTTGGATGGCTCTTGGAGACGCAGGATTACGTGCTGACATGTCCTCGTTTCTGTCGTTCCAGGCCCGCTCGTCCGCATCGGGCCCAATGCCGTCCTGACGACTGACTACCGGCACTGCCAGAAGATGGAAGCCCACAAGTCGCCCTATCGCAAGGGCCCTTGGTATGGCACCTTTCGGTTTCAGAAGGGCGTTGACCACTCGTTCGCCATGCTGGATGAGGCCAGGCACACGGCTCTGCGGACCAAGGTCGGGCATGGCTACTCTGGGACCATGCTCGTGGTACGTGACCTGAGGCTCTCTGCTCTTGTGCCTGTTGTGTCGAGGCCGTGCCTGTTGTCTGGAGGCCGTGCTTCGCGTGTCTAGGCCGTGCTTTGCGTGCCAAGGCTGATAACAACGGTGACCAGGAACAAGCCATCGACCGGCAGCTGGAGCGCTTCTTCCGCATCATCGACGGGCAGTACATCACGACGCCGTCTGACCACAAGCCCCTAGACCTGTCCGTCATCACGCAGTTTCTCGCCCTCGACATTGTCGGGGACATGACGTTTGGCAAACCCTTTGGCTTCCTCGACAAGGGCGAAGACATCTATGACTGGATCAAGTGGAACGAGGGCTTCTTCCCCATCGCCTCCACCGCCGCCACGCTCCCGTTCCTCGCCAGCCTCGTCCAGAAGTGGCCCTTTTCCGAGGCGCTGCCCAAGCCCACCGACAAGGATGGTCTTGGATGTTTCATCAAGTAGAATTCTTTCCCCCTCACTCTCCCTGTCACTCGCACCAACCACCGTTACATAGTGTGTCAGACTAACAGTCCCCGGCGCAGGGCGGCTCAGGACACGCTCGACGAGCGGTTCGAGCCGGGCGCGCAGCCGAGAAACGACATGATCGCTCAGTTCCTCAAGCACGGCGCTACCAAAGCGGAAGCAACCAGCGAGGCCCTGGTCCAAGTGTACGTCCTCATCAGCCATTTCTCCACATACGCCGCCCATGTGATTCAGCCAGGCTAACAGGGCGCGCGCCTTCCTCGACAGCGTCGCCGGCACGGATTCCGTAGCCGTGGCCCTGCGCATGGCTGTGCTCTACGTCCTCTCGACGCCGCGGGTCTACTACCGCCTGCTGTCAGAGATCGAGGGCGCCGCCGCCAAGGGCGAGGTCAGCTCGCCGATCAGGGATGCCGAGGCCAAGAAGTTGCCGTACCTGCAGGCCGTGATCCGCGAGGCATGCGCATCTTTGCCTCGCAGACGCCCCTCCTCAACAAGACGGTTCCGCCTGGCGGGGATGTCGTTGCTGGTTTTGCGCTGCCGGCCGGCACTCAGGTGGGCATGGATGGTGTAAGTCACCAGGCAAACCTATGGCGGAACAGGCATCGCCCCTGTGTCCGCGGGCTGCTGCTTAGACTGGACGCTTCGCTGACCGTGTCTGCAGTGGGGGATCCTCCGGAGCAAGGAGCACTGGGGCCCCGACGCGGGTATCTTCCGGCCCGAGAGATGGCTCGAGGTCGACGACGCCAGGAAGGCCGAGATGGCCGCCACGCTGGAGGCTTTCTTTGGCTATGGACGGTACAAGTGTTTTGGCCGGAACGTTGCTTTCATGCAGATGAGCAAGGCTCTGCCAGAGGTAAGAAGCTCCGCCGCTTCCCCCCCCCCCCCTCGAGCCTGAACTTGTGCTTATGGCTGCTTCTAGCTCTTGCGACGATACGACTTTACGATCAATGACCCGACCCTCCCGGTGAGGAAACTTCACAGCGCTGCTTTCTGGATGATGGAAGGTTTCTGGGTCACTGTTGGGCAGAGACAGACCCAGTGACGAGTCTGTCCTCGAATTACGCTCCCATTTACTCGAAGCAGCTCAGTCTACATTGTCGATCGGCTCCCATTTTGGGAGACGGTACCCGCCGATTGATTTCACAAAGGTGCCAAATCTCGCGAGAGCAGCCGCTACGTCTTGCCCGAGCCAGGACTGCAGGACGTTTGCCCGGCTGTACTCCATTTCATGTAGATGATGACCCAAGACCTGGAAATGACATAAAATTAGGCACTATCATCTCAACACAAGTGATGCAACTGACCAAGCAAGAGGTGCCGTGTCTGGAAGGATCCGCAGCGGCAAACGCGATGGCCGTGGCGACAGCAGCAGGAGTGTTGGCGTCCAGACCGGCCTGCGTGATGACATTGCCAAACTCCCTTGTGATACCTGTAGGCGTGTAACCAGGTGTCACTGCGTTCACCCGCACTCCCAGCGAGGCTGCCTTGTCCAGCGATGCTCTCAGCAACCCAATGACGCCGTGCTTCGAAGCGATGTACGCGGCGTTTCCGGTCGAGCCGAAATACCCGGATATAGATGCCACTAGGACGATGGACCCTCTAAATCCATCGGATGCTGGACTGTTCTTGGCCATGTAGTGCAAGCTCAGACGCAATGCTGGTCACCTCTGAGTATGGGCCTGCAGAGCAGAAACTAGGGCTTGTGGACTCACTGTTCAAAGTCCCCTTCAAGTTGACATCCAGGACTCGATTAGCCTCCATCGACTCGATGGGATCCCCTACGCCGTCGACGCTGACGTCCAAGACCGGCGAGCTCTCCATGATGCCGGCATTGGCCACGACCATGTGAATCGCACCGAACCTACTCAGAGTAGTCTTGAAGACATGCATCAAGGCCGTCCAGTCCGTGACACTTGCAGGCGCGAAAATGGCGTTCTCTGGGTGCTTCATAGAGACTATGAGCGCCTGTGCGTCCGCCTTGCGCCCCGGCAGATCTGTGATGCACACAAGCGCTCCATGTTCGTTGAAGAGTGTTGCCGTGGCTGCACCAATCCCTCGAGCGGCACCAGTAACAATGATGGTTCGCCCATTCAAAGACTGCAGGAGGTCATCTTGAAAGCTTAGTCGAGACATGATCCTGGCGACACGATGGTTGTTGTCCAGTTTATTCCGTATCTGCCTTGAACTATCAGGTCATGTGCTGCTTATGCAGTACCCCGCGGCGCTGTTGATGTCTGACTGATCACCGCCGGTCAGCACCTCCGTCACCAGGGCGTTGCTTTGCGAGATGTGACAGTGTAAACCAATGGTCAACAGATGATAGTTTCAGAAACCAGCATGATTCATTGTTCGTGAGTGGTATGAAGTCTTCATAAATCAGCGACTAGGGTGAACTCAAATGAGTTATGCCGCAAATACAACGCCTCCCATGAGTTTATTTTGTCTCACTTGACCCGTTGTCGAGGCTCAGTCTGAACCCCGCCAAACGTCTACCCCGCGCGAACTGTTCAACCCAACATCACCAACAAGATACGTACGCACCAACTGCCGGACTGCCCACTATGGCTGATCAATTTGAGGTTCCAAAGCCTCTAGCAGAGCTCTTCGAGCAGATTGAGAAGAACGTCGCTTCGACACAGCTCGGCTCGTCGAAATGGTACATGATCACACTCGCAGCGCTCGTCGGCAGCAATGATCCTGACCTCTGCGCCGATCTCTACACGCACCTCCTCACGAAACCCGAATTCTCGGCACCAGAGCAGCGACAAGAGCTCGTCCGCCGCCTCCGCGAGGGTCTTTTCAAGACCATCAGCGTCGTTGGTGTGTGCAAACCCATGAGTGCAATCCTGGCCATCAACGCCCGCGAGAGGGAGGAGGACAAGGACCGAAGCATCACGCGAGAGGGGTGGCAGTGCGACGATGACAGCCTGAAGCGCGGCCAGGCGTGGCTCGCCAAGATCTACACGCGGGACACGGACAGCACGCTCGACCTGTTCAAGGATCACAGGGACTTTGCATGGGTGTCGGAGCGCATCACGTACGGGTTGTACCTTTGCGACCGCCAGGTGCTGGACGACTTCGACACGGAGATGGTCGTCCTCTGCAGCATCATGATCCAGAATCTTGGCAGAAACACGCATTGGCACCTCCGAGGGACTAGGCGTCTCGGTGTCTCCTTCGAGGACACGCAAAAGGTGTGGGACTCGGTTCAGTTGGTCGCTGGCTATTTGGGCGTGACGCTGAACAGAATTCCGACGGTGGCCGATGTTGAGAAGGATATCTGAGAGTACCTACGGTACAGGAGAGCCCAAGGATTGGCAGAATCATTGGTCGATCTTGACGATAGAAGGGCCATCGAGGCTCCAGATGGCATTAGATGCTCTCCATGTCCGAAGACCCTCATGTACATGTCAATTTCTTTTCTGGCCATGAAACCGCCCAGCATACAGAACCCGTCTCGTATTCTCAAAGCCCTCAGGCGCTACGGACAAAATTTTACCATTTCAACAAGATCTAGCTTTGCCAGACAGCCAAAGGTGAACCCGCATGAGGTGCATGCTCCATGCCACCCCGCCGATAACCCGACTTGCGTTTGGACGGAGTATATATGAATCACCTTTAAATGGATGATCATCGCTATGATCTTGACTTATATTGTTGCTTCGTTTCCTCGCCGCATACGTAGCCTTAAAGGTACGGTCATCCCGAAAACGACCACCATGTGCGAATCCGTCGAGGTTGTCGATGCCTTCATGCGTTACCCCCAAGAGCCATAATTGTATCGCATACTCACTGAATCCTCGGTTTACAAGTATATTTTTTCTCCCTCCGCACCGCCCAGGGCATGCTTTCCCGACATCCGCGGCGAATTCCTGGCCCTCAAGTCCGTCAGCCGAGGAAATTGGACTACTGGACGCCTGGGTACAACGAAAGACGGGCGTCTGAGCCTGAGCTCTACTGAGGACATTCGCCTTACGGATCTTTTCACACCATGGCATGCTTCCTAAAATCGACTTGCTTGATTTCCCTCGCCCCTCTCTGGAGTCGATACACAGGACGAGCTACAGTGACACGGTCAGTTGACGGCTGGAGTCGTCACTACGCCTGACCGCTGCGGACAATTTCCCATGGCTATTTGCTTCTGGATCTGGCAGCCTGGTTTTCGCTATGGCTTGTATGCAGATAGTAAAATGTATGCCGCCATTGAGCGTCACGACATTGCGCCCAAGTTCCTAGCGCACATCACCGAGAGCCGCGGCCGCGTCATCGGCCACATGTTGGCGAGACTGAAGGCTTGTTTGGCTAATATCCAAAATATGGGCAAATGCTGGGCCCTTTTAGCTGGGCTGCGTAGCCTCGGGCCTATCGCGTCATTCGTTTCTGATAGAAGACGAACGAGGTCGCGCCTATCTTCACGGATTCTTCACTTCGTATCACACGACCGACCAAGGCGTACTGCAGGCTGAGTTTCATAGCCTTGAGAGAATCTTCCCGCGAAGGGCGGATCCATCAGCAGTCGGCCAGGAGAAGCTGTAGGCTATATTCAAGCAGTTATCTACGCAATAATCAAGAAGAATTCAAAGTCAGCGAGACAAGACTAGCAATCCTGTCGAAATCGCCTTTTCTGCGCTCAGGAGGTTTTACAGATGTGTTATACGTGCTGGCATTGCAAGACAGTCTTGACTAGGCGCGCCGCCATAACTTTATCGCAATATAGTAATCGAACTTCGTTCACGTTCTTCTAGAATTCTTGATCGTCTAGCAAATAATCAGCGGATTGCAAGACAATGCAATGACGAACCCATGATCTACCTGGGAATTATGTTTAACCTGTATCGTTTCTCCATTTATCGCCTTTGCTACGTTTTCCTGTAATCGGAAATTCATCAGTTTCTAATCAGTGTAGTAAGTCTCCTCTTTACACGGGAGGCGTGCAAAGCAAGCCAAACCAGAAAAGTCTCTGCAACTCAAACTTACAAATGTTGTTAATGAGGCCAATGTGAGCAAATGTGAGCAGATGTGCAGTCAGCGTGTTGATTGTGTGTCGCGAGTGCTTGTCAAAGCCAGACGGTAGCCCTGAAAGCGTCACTTGGAGGAACCGAAGACCTAGTATATTGAAATGAACATTAAATAAGAACACTGTAGTCATTGCGACTGGGTGTAGATCGTTAAAAAGCGAATCATGACGAGTCATGCAGCGTCAATGGTTGCCTCTCAGAAGATTGATTGCTTTGAATACCATCCCGGGGCCAAGGATTCTTTGTGACTGTTGTGACGCGGGATTTGATACTGTCATGGAGCAACGACTCAGAGCTTGCCTCCGACGTTTCTATATAGCTATACAACCGATGTAAACGATGAATAGTGATGTTGTGCCCAAGATATACCACGTCATTCATCTCCGATTACAGAATCTAAGCTCCCAGATCACCACCTTAGTGAACAGCTCCAATATCGAGATCACTCTTAACAGCGTGTCCAGGAAGTAAGTCTGGGTTGTCCCTGAAATAATTCGATAGACATCTACTCAATTTCAGGGCATTGACATATTAGAAGGATGTGTCTGATGAAGCACACTTATTACTCTTGCGGCTGCTATTCAGGATGTTGGATCGTCGGCGAGCATTGCTGTCGGTATCCGCGGTGCCAAACATATATCGCCAGCCCACCCTTCGTGCTGGATCAGGTGTGCTATTATCACAGCTTTCAACAAGGATGAGTGATTGCTTGGGTAAGTCACAGTACTTCCGACGAAAGGTGTTAGGACCTGGCGCATGCGGAGTTTGAATACAGGTTTCCGATGCTGCTGGGCTTGGAGCACCTGTGAGCAGTAGACGGCTCAGAAACTGCACAAATCAATAGGCGAGCAATGCAGTAGCAAATATGAGACACAACGTAAGCTACATGTTGCTTGATCTGCGATAATACATTGTTAGCCCCTTCCTTCCCTTGATTCCTGAAGCCCTTCCCAAATGCAATGTTCACACAGGCTCATGACACATGTTCCTGCTATTGTCTTGACGGTTATCCATTTCCCCCTCCATAGCAAGTCCTGTTACAGAGGTTGAGCTAGTCAGCATTGCCTTCGAAATGTGATTATTAGCTGACTCGCTTACTCTAGCTGATAGGTTTCTCGATCATTCTCAGACTACTGCGTTCTTCCAGTCCTACTTTAACACGTCTTTTTTTGCGCACAGTAAGCGAATCTGCACGCAGCGTCTAAGTGACCCTTTTGCCTCGCAGGTCCGACTATGTATGAGATGCTAATTGCTTGGCGCTAGGCCTCGAGGCTGTTTCTGGAGCTGGCATCAATATTATCGTCAATGATCTGCATGTGGCTGCATTCAAAACCCTACAAGACCAATAACCTCGGGATCTAGTAGATGTGCTTCTAGGCATGGGTATTTTGCGAAGTATTCAACGTGATTTCATCGCCTTGACTGTTATACGTATCGATAACAAGTCAAGGCGGTCTCAATGTTGTACACATGCTTTCTAATGGAAGTTGGGGCTCCTGTGACGGCTTGCAAGCTGGCCCTCCTCTGCTTTATCGTAGGCGAGGCCACGCGTCCATGCGTTTCCTTAGAGTCTCTGGTCCTTCACATGTTGACGAAGACTGGTGTTGGCTTCAGTTCAGAAAATTCTGTCTGTTCAGGTTCTGATCGCATATTACTTACCGCTGAACCAATTCTAGCTGATCCTTGACGTAGATTCATGGATTGCCCGTGATTCCAGGGGAACAGAGACCCATATCCCACCGTCTTACTGTATGCGGAAGGATCAAATCCGACTGTACCGTGGTGAGTGGCTGTGCCGCAGCAATGCGCGAAGGATTTCTCCCACTCCACGTAGGCTGCTGGCTGTTGCATCTTCTGAGCATGATCATCATATCCCTCATTGCATAGTCACCTTTTGCTGAGATTTACACCATGAAGCAACGATCTCGGGCTTGCGAGCTATGCCAGAAGCTCAAAGCCAAATGCGAGGCTTCCTCCACGGGGAAATGTGACCGCTGCAAGCGTGCAGGGGTCGAATGTGTACCCGCAGCGCCACGATTCCAGCGCGACCGCATTGCCGAACTAGAGGCACAGGTCGAGGAACTCACACGCCGACGGTTGAGGGACACCCCCACTGACGAGTCGCTCATCCCGTTCATTGACGCGCGAATTCATCCCGATGAGCAGAGACGCGTTCTGACTGCTTATGCCGCCCACAATGCCGCAGTGTGGCCCTTCCTCTCTGTTGCCGATACGGACCTCGAGCACCTCAGGGAGACTTCATCGCTCCTGCTATTGGCCCTGCTCGCCTTCCCCGGCGACACACTGCTCCCGGCACATGTACAGGAAGAGCTAGTCCTCAAGGCCATGTCCATATTCGGGGAGGAGATCATCGCCAAAGGAAACCGTTCCCTAGAAATGGTCAAGGCTCTCCTGACGGCAGCATTCTGGTTTCGACAAGCCAGACAGGTGCCTCACGGTCATTGCTACCAGCTGACGCAGTTGGCGGTCGACATGGCTATTGACATTGGCATCGCTGGGCCTCAGCTTGTCAGAACACCCCCGGCTTACTTTTCTGAGACTAAGAATCCGACATCTTTGGATGCCAGAAAGACGTGGATCGCTTGCTTTCTCGCAGCAGCTTCAAATTCTCTCTGCATTAGGCGACCAACCATCGTCACATGGACGCCATACCTTGAGGAGTGCATCCAGTGCCTGGATAAGACCGACGACTGTCTTGCCCACATGGCACGAATCATGAAAATTTGCAACCAAATTGCGGGCAAGCTAGGCCTTTGCGACCTTACAGTCTATACTGGTGTTGAAGACGCAAGGGACCAGATGGCCACCCTCCGCGGCCTCGTCTTGGCTTGGCATGCTCAACTGCCGGCAGCCCTCGCCAGCCACCCCGTGTTTAGCTTTTGGCGGGAGATCGCGGGTCTACTGATTCATGAAGTTGTCTTGCACACACAGACGAATAAGGCACTGTTTGCTGGGCCGTATGTGCCAGGCAAGATTGGGGTTAAGGACTTTGCCGCTCCGACCAAACTCTCGACGGAAGTGGTCTTCACGTTGCAAAGCCTCCTCAAGGCGTGCCACGGTGCAATACAGATCTTCTCCGACATGAGCCCCTCGATGATGCTTGGGCTTCCGTCCTTGACAATTGGTCCGGCTGTTCTACATGCCCATTTCGTGCTGATACAAGCTCATGTCGCCGTTACAGGGCTCCATAACAGCCTAGGCCAGATCTCGACTCCGGACCAAGTCGCGCTTTCGTCCAACATGCAGAAATTGGAAGATGTGGCGCTGGTCCTAGACACGATCGACCCTTTCTTGGCCTCGTACACGACAACAGTTTTGCAATCATCGCGGTGGCTGCGAACTTGGCTCAACGACTACGATGCCATTACGAGCCGGTATGTGGCGAGCCTGTCCATTGAGCGCGAGTTGGAGCAGACGCGGCTCTGAGAGGCACAGCCCCATGCGGTCTCGCGACATGACATCATGGACTTTGGGTTGACGCGGAGTCAGAGCGGCCTCCTGTGGCTCATACCCCGGTTCTGCCGTCCGGAGATGTGGGGCGGCGAATTTTCGCCGGCCGAAGAGCGAGCCGCAGCCCTGTCATGCTGAAGGATGCAGATCTGAGCCTGAGCCTGAGGGCCTCAATGCTACCACGGTCGTTGAAATCGTCTGTTTTCAGTGGAAATACGAGGATTGGTAGTAATGGAAGCGTCATTGTACTGTTGCCATCGTGATCGCGCCCGACCGCTTCGACCGACTTGTAGCCCAGCTCGTGGATTAAAAGGCCGTCTGAAGCCGCTGTAAATCACGTCGAACAGCAGCATCCAGAACATCAACAGCTTGAACATCAACATCTTGAACACCAGCAGCTTGGACACCAGCAGCAGCTTGCACAAGACCCCCATTCTGCAGCCTCATTTTTCAATCTTCAAGATGCATCTGCCGACCTTGCTTCCCATCTCCCTTCTTTCTGGTCTTGCCCTGGCCCAGGGCGATCTCGCCGGTTTGCTCCAGTCGCAGGACGATCTCAGCACGTTGCTGGAGCTGGTCGGTCTCGTTGATGGTCTGGCTGAGACGCTCGCATCGTCCTCGAACATAACCATTTTTGCCCCGACGAACACGGCTTTCGACAACGTCCCCATCGAGATTCCCGAGGGCGAAGCCATTGCCTACAAGAACGACACCATTGCCATTGGCGCCCTGCTCGCCAACCATGTCTTCAAGGGTCTATATCCGGCCGAGGTCGTCACTGATCTTCCGACCTTTGCCCAGACTCTGCTCGACAGCTCCTATGTCAACTACCAGCAGCCGTTCTCTAACTTTACCGGCGGCCAGTACAACGGCCTCGTGAAGAACGGCGCCGACGTCTGTGTGCTGTCGGGAGAAGAGACCATCTCTACTGTTACCGAAGCGGTAAGTCTACCGTTCCGCACCAAGCAGATACAAATTACTGACTGCCCTCACAGGACATCAAGCTTGGCAATGGCATCATTATCCACAAGATTGACACGGTGCTGAGTTTTGGAGCCCCCTTTCAGCTCTTCACCGCCCGTGCCAAGCTCCTCGCCATGAACGCCGCCGTCGAGGCGGCTCAACTCGGTCTGGCCTTTGGGGAGACTGAAGCCGACTCTCCGGCAGTCAACATCTCTGATTTCACCATCTTCGTGCCCAATGATGCTGCGTTCGAGGCCATCGGGTCTATTCTGCAGGCTGCCGACCAAGAGACGTTGCAGGCGGTTCTGAGCCATCACATGATTGAGAACAACGTCATCTTTTCCACGGCCCTCGGGAACGTTACCGTGCCTTCTGCTCAGGGTATCGACCTCACTTTCACCGTGCTGCCAGACGGAACAACCTGGGTCAACGGCGCCAAGATCCTTCTTCCCAACGTCATCCTCTTCAATGGTGTTGCCCACATCATCGACAGGTGAGATTTTGGATGCGATCCATGAAGCTCATATGCTAATTATTGCCAGCGTCCTGAACCTGGAAGTGTTTGACAGAAACACGCTCGCTCCGTCGGCCCCCGCCGCGGACCGCGTCGCCTTCCCCGATGCCAGCCCCGTGTCCAAGCTGCCCTTCTCGAGCGTCTCGTTCGGAAACGATCTTGCCACCTACACGACTCCGGCTCTGCTCAGCACCATGGCTGCCGTCGCGACGCCGACGCCTGAGGGCGAGGCCACGTCCGGGGCGCCTGAGACGGTCCCGACTGCCGGTGCGGCGGGACATGGTGCCGTGGGAGCTTTGGCCGTGGGCGCTGTGGCGGGCGTGTTTGCTGTCATGCTTTAGGGTCAATCTGGTGTTTGAGAACGATGATTGGCAGTGTTGCGAACGTGTGATGGATGTAGATGGGTTGTGTGTACTGTTGGGTTTGCAGACCTGCATCGGTATTCGCGTGTCGTTTTCTCTACATAATCTTTCGACTTTTCCCTTCGGCTCAATTCTCAGGCAATCGAATAGACAATTTGTTACGCACGTACTACCTCTTGTGTGGTGAAGTTCATCGTCGCAGGTCTGAAAACATGAGGTTGTAGAATGTCGGCCAGGGGAGAGTAGCGGAACAGCTTCCGCTTTGACTCCACCAGCCACGAAGTGAGCTTGCTATTTCGCAGTCGACGTGAAGCCCCGTCAATCACCTCCAACTCTCGACCTACACATCGCAAGTCGACAAATCGAGAACAACGTCAGTGCCGTTCTGGTGACCATTCCGACAAATGCCCCCCCTGCAATTCGTGCCCGCACGCGATTCGCGTCACCGGCATGCCTGTCTCGCCCTCTACCGCGCCCTCGTTCGCGAAGGCCGCCGCATCCCTCTTCCAACCGACATCCTGGCCGACCAGAGCGCCCACCCCATCCAGCACATGATCAGAAAACAGTTCAGGAGAAACAAGGGCGATACGGGGCCGCGGGTTGTGTTTGCGGCATTGACTGCCGGTTACAAGGTGGGCCCCTACCTGTACAGATGACGGTTCTTTTCGCTAAAGTGCAAATCAACTCCAGTTCCTGTCCCTCTTTCGACAAGCCCAAACGACATCTTCCACAGCCCATGCCGAAGTCCTCGCCCATGTCAAACGAAAGCGACTCGAGTCGGCCACGTCTCGCGCAAACTACAAACCGAAACCGCCACAGCTCGACAAGCCCCAGTTCTGTCCCAAGCCGCCGCCGCTCCTCACGCGGCACCGAGACCCCGACGGCTCCGTCTCCTACACATCCACCCTCCGGCCGGCCCCCTCTTCTCAGCTGCGAGGCCGCCGTCGCATACCGGTCGTCTTTGTGACTTCGCAGGGCGTGCCCTTTCTCCGCACCAAGAAACCGCAGCCCGTGCGGCTCGAGTGCGCGCTCCGACGCCAGGGCCAGCGACGGCAGGCACGCGTGACGCAAGCGATCGAATTGCGCGAGGTGAGTACTCCGGCGGCCAAGGACGAAGACAATTGGGAGAGGCTCGTCGAGGGTCTGCAGCGCGAGGAGGGACGAGGGCGGGAGCGAGAGCGAGAGGGTGACAGCGAGACGTTTGCGGCAGCGGTGCAGACGGGGTGGCAAGCGCTGGGACGCAGCCTGCAGAACGAACGACTCGACTGGGTCGCGAAGACGGAGGCGTATGTGAAGATCGTAGACGAGGAGAGGAGGATGGCGAAACTCGAGGCTGGGTTGGTGGAGGACCGATGGGCGGTGG